AGGCTTCTTCTGATTGATCAGTTCAACATCTTCCATGATATTATTATCAACACTAGTCTGATTATCCTGGTAAGTAATAAATTGTCCAGTACACTGAGTATGGGGTGTTGCAATCTTAGCTTTTTAATTGTTCTTAGCTTCTCCAACTGTTCCAATATTAACTGATGTTCTTTCTTTCAATGGTTCATATTCCTTATCTAAATCAGATTCTCCATCAGATATTAGATATGCAAGCTGTCCTGCTTGAATCTTTATACTGATTGAATTTGCAGGAGATGTCTCTTCTTACTGATTGATCTTCTTTTTAGAGCTTGTCAACTCTGGAATCACTCATTCATCCTCTCTTATAGACCACACAATATACATATTCAGAATTTCAGATTTAGAAGTGACAGCTCAATAGTTTTGATTCTTAGAGCTCATGCATAAGTTCCCTTCATCATCAATATGGCAGTATCCATTACTCATATCAGATTGATATTCATAACACTGAGATTGACAACATCCAGGATTTCCACAGTAGAAGCATGAGAAACATGTTGAAATTCCTCCAGTTCAAGCTCCTCCTTGTCCACAAGCACTACTATAGCCTGTCATAGGAGAGCCATTTCAAGCCAAATAGAGGTTGACTGGCAGTTGAGTATTCTCTTGTACAGTTGTAGAATTAACAGTCACATTTGTTGGATAATTTAATATAGATTTTGGAGATTCTTCTCTCTGCAGCATATAATACTGATCAGAATTCCCTTGTATCTGATTTGATTGTACTCTCATGATCAATATCAAATTTATGAACTTGTTGGTCATCTTTTCAATAGCAGCTTCAATATTGGTGCTGTCAGAGCTCTTGACTTTAACTTTCAATTTGGATTCTTCAGTCTTTGCAAAACTAGCTGTTTTCTTTGGAGCTTCAACTGTAGGGGGCTTGTTAGCCAATTAATATTGCTCACCAAGCTTCTCCATTTTCTTTTGTTTCATTTCATCTTCTTCAAAGACCTTCTTATTCCCTTCATACTGGTTGATCAAATCCATAGTCACCTGAACAACTTTTCTAAAATCAATAGGCAACATATCATCTGAAAGATTGAGCTTGGCCTTGTCAATAACCTTATTCTAAAGCTTCTCAGATAGCCCCTGAAGAAACCAAGACATCTTAGTGAATTCATCAAGCCTTCCATTTGCTTGAACTGTACTGGTGATAGTAGTGTATTCTCAAATATAGGTGCAAATGTTGCCATCCCAAGCATGTGGTTTCTTTGTAATTACCCAGAGATAATCCTGATGGTGAATCTTATAAGTGATATCTTGATCACAAAATTCATGAATAATCTCTTTGGAGAATACTTCTCAATTATCTTTTTTGTAGTCTTTCAAGATCTTCATCCATTCTCCAATCCATGTAACACAGTACCTAGCCAACCATTTAATAATGTTTTTAGAGTTAATTACCCCATGATCCTTGCACATCTGATAAAACCTTTCAATAAACAGGGTAGCATCTCTGCCATCAAACCAAAATGCATTTGCCATGCCAGGGGAAGGCATAGAAATGTGGGAATGAACCACAATTCTCTTGTTCTTACCCAGTGACATAGTTGCATATGATCCTGTAGTATCTTCAGCCATAGTTGATTCTGATTCCAATTTCTTGGTTTCTTGATCTTTGGTCATATCACACAGTATGTTCTGTCTATTAGTCAATATCTTCCAAAAACCTGTTTATCAGGCAAGCTCTAGATAAGAGGCATTCAAATCTAAGCTCCCTAATCTTATTCCTAAATAAAAAAAACTGATTAGTACTGTGTTCCTAGTCTATAAGATCTTATCTTGAAATAGTGTATCACTTCATGTGTCTCAGAATTTGTTTTTCTCTTCCTTGACAGTCACCAAATCACTGCATCATCATCTTCAGGTCTCAGCTTGGTCACCAAATGGAGTGGGGTACAATAGGATGCCTCATTAAAGTAGGTGAGTTGGTTGATATGGTGAGAGCACAAGAAAGGTGAAAAATCACCATATAGTAAGAGTAAGGTCAAGTAGTAAGTGTAGAGATAGATATGTTCTAACAGATGCCTAAGCTTGCAAGAAGTAATAGTACTAAAGAGCTCTGTACTAACACAGACAGCTCTAATGAGAAACAGTAGCACATTTCATGAACAAGAAATCTTCATATTCTCTAACTAATAGCTGAACTGGTAGTAAGGAACAAGTGTGTAGAAAAGAGCAATGGTGTGTGAAGGTAATAAGCAAGATGCAGGGGCTACAGGTGGTTTATATAGCTCAAGAATAGTAGCTTTGGGGTGGTTTGCATCTCGGACTGGAACAACCTTTGTCCTAATGAGGTACCAGAATCCACCTGTAGCCTCTGCATCTGACTTATTATCTTTATGCACCATGGCTCTTTTCTACACACTCATTCCTTACTACCAGTTCAGTTATTAGTTAGGGAATATGAAAATTTCTTGTTCATGAGACTTGCTACTGTTTCTTATTAGAGCTGTCTGTATTAGTACAGGGCTCTTTAGTACTATTACTCCTTGCAAGCTTAGGTGTCTGTTAGAACATATCTATTTCTACACTTACTACTTGACCATACCCTTACTATATGGTGATTTTTCACCTTTCTTGTGCTCTCACCATATCAACCAACTCACCTACTTTGACAAGGCATCCCATTGTACCCCGCTCCAATAGCTAAGAGTATAAAGTACTAGCAGAAGTAACATCTTAGCTTGATGAGTAAAAGAAGCAACTAAAGAATGATTTAATAAAGTCTGGCAGGTCTGAAGTTATTACAGATAGAAGAACTTAATCAGAATTAATTCAGAGCAACAAGAAAATTAAAAATATAGCTCAGAGTAAAACCAGAGTAATTATGTGATGCCAAGGGTGCTAAGACTGTTTACAGTGCAAAAAATTATACTAAAATTTGTGGGATGTGGCAGGCCTGATGGGGATTTGCTGATGATTTTCAACTGTCAAAGTCTTCTTTTAAGCTACATTAAATAGTCTCCAGAAATCTCTTTTTGTCACTTAAATATAGCTTATTTTGTAATATAGTAGTGCTTCCAGCTTGTTTGAATATGTCTTGCCCAGCAGTTTAAAGATTCTAATATCAAGAGATTACAAACAGTGAGTTGAGTGTGATGGAAGAATCATAAGAAGAATCTTTTTGTAGTTAGTATATTTAATAAATTTTATATTTATATGGAAGGAATGCTCATCTAGTAGAAGCAGATGTCTTTCTTAATCAGCTTGTTTCTTAGTATGCTGATTGAAAATCTGTTTCAATTACTTTAGTTCATATTTATCATTACTTCAATCATTTGTTAAAGTTGCAAAGTAGACCCATTTGCTTCTATCATAATTATCTAATTATATATTCTGGAGATCTCACAATTTGTTCTGATAAATAAGAGCTAAAGATAGTGTAATTTTTTTAGCAAAGACTGAGCAGAGCAATAAAAGAAATTTCTGACTATTATTCTAAATAGCAGCATTCTTTCCAGCTTGTAGAGCTTCAATAAAGACTAATCACTTTAAGACATGACAGAAGCCTAGAAGAAATTCTTTTTTATTAAAGTTGTAAATCTTTGAGAGCTCAAGATTATATTAATTGATTTTCTGCTCCAACTACTTTATAAGTATCAAATAATTAGCCAGTATCAACAACTGTAATTGTAATTAATCAAATACATCATCAAATTACAAGCATATAGAAGTGCTTAAAGTACTAATAGTTATCTGCTACCTGCCTGTTTTAATTAATTGCTTTGAGATAAATATATTTAATCTTGTTATGATACTGCTTGTGAAACTAATTAACTCAGTTGATTTCAATATCCTCTTCTGTCATCTCTTATATGATATTTTGTAGAATCTGAAATGTAATAGCAAGGCCACAGCTACAAAGCTTGTTTATATAATTCAGAAGCTCTGTCTTCTGTATATCAGAGAGCTTTTTCTTATATCAGAAGACTGCTTTATTTTAAGCAAGTTGCAAGTCTTTATACTATTAGTGCAGAATCTCTTGATTAACTGAGTACTTTCTTGCAGTTGCAGTGTAATTTAGAGTCTCTTGCAATTCAAGATCTTCAATTGCAAGTCTAATTGAGATGTTGTTGACCATGTTGTTGCATACTGAATGTTGAATATTAGAGGAATTTGGTGGTGGAAAATTTGGCTTGTTTAGTGGTGTGGCTTATTTAGTGGTGAACTACCTTACTAGTTCAGAAAAATAACTTTCTGAATTTAAAAGAACTTCAATATAGTACAGAGTACACAAAAACATTATAGATATTACTGAAACAATAATTCAGTTAATTTTCATGCTACAAGATAAGAAAAACGTAAATAATTACTTAATTATTGTCAAGTTCCAGCTAAATTACTATCTGTGAGAACATAGACATACTGCCCCAATCCCCTTTTGCATGTCTCAGGAGCTTGATCAGCAGGTAATACATGCAGATCTGCTGTTTGTAGTTTGTACATCCAGAAGCAGAAGGGTGGTAGCCTCATCAGTCTTTGATATTGATGATGGGATGGTGTGGAAGAGGCAAGGTGAGGCGTTAGAGAGAGGTCAGTAAGGGAGGAGAGGGAGGAGATGTGTGTTTGATCAGTGTATGAAGTTAGGCAAAAGGGTTGTCAGATTCTTGCTACATCCATGATCTCCAGGCAATCACTTGCTTAACTGCTGAGCTTAGCATTGCGAGTTTCAAGAAATGGCATATCATTGCGAGTATCTCAAGTATGTTTTGTGGTGATGTCCTGAGCAAAACAGAGAAGGTGTTCTCAAGTCATTCAAACAATCTTAGTCAACTCAAGAAGAAGTGTCAATGTTCACCTGGTTCAGACCCTCGCGCCCTGAATTCATAATAGCAGCAGCCAAAACAAGAAAGAAAAGAGAACAATGGCCACACTATACTGATGGATAGAATATCTCAGTGTAGAATAAATAAAATAGGATTGATAAGACTCCCCTCCTCTTCAGGACTTTCCTACTCTCTCCCCATTCTCTGCAACCAAAGCTTAAGGTCAAACTCACCCTCACTTAACTCCCTCTCATCTCCAACAAACATGAACACATTTCCATATGCGGTCGCGGGTTCCTTTCCATCAGTATATTTGATAAAGCAAGGCTTCACACTATAAGCTTGTGTCTCGTACTCGGCTAATCTCGCGCCCTGCTTGACAGTCTGGACATCAAAGACCATACCCTCAATGATGTTTCCGGGTGGACCATCAATCAATGCAGGATACTGCCCCCAGAGTTTGGCAGAGTAACCAGTTATATATCCCGGTCTGAGATTCAGTTTTGCATCCAGACCAAGAATCTCAGTGAGCATGCAGGGATCTTGGAGCGTCCCGTAAAAGAAATACAGTCCTGTGGGCGCGGCATGGTGATTGATGAGAGGGGGCGGGTTGGGGGCCTGGTAGAACCAGTCTGGCGGAGCACTTCTCACTTTCAGAATGAAGCCAGAGTCTTTGGATATATCACTCTGGGGACGCGCAGGAGGAAGTGGTGGTGCAGGTGGGGGAGATGAAACTCCCAGTGCTGGAGAGTCAGACATGGTATGTGTTAGGTATTATGTAGATAGGAGTTGTGCCACAAGCTGTCAGAGAAACAAATGTACCCGTAATGTAGTTTAAAAGTCCTTGATGGCGGCGCATCAACATGATGTCGCCTACTATTTAAGTAAGTCACTTCCCTTATTTAGTCAGCAGCCCTGGGAAACCTCTCCAAAACCCTCAATGCACAGAGTGATTCCATTACTAGATCACTTCCTTTGGCTGTCCGGAAACCTACTATCTTCTAATAATAACCCGAGAGCTGACGTCAGGCGCTTATGTGGACAAACTACAGGCTGACCACCATTGTTGAAACCAACATGGGGTCTGAGCCCTGGAGCAAGCAATACTTAGGCTTCATCCTTTCTCTCCAGCTGGGCGGCTTAAAAGGCAAGCATAAGTTGTCAGGCAGCAAATTATTAATTCACTTTGCTGTGAATTAGGACTAGCTCCATGCAATCCTGAATTCACCACCATCCACGCCAAATCAAGAGTGAAGCGCCTTCATCCCTTCAAAATATTCGAGACTTAAAGCTGTTGTTCGTATGGTTTTTCCGTGGTGCCTGCTGCCGGATTCATTGGAGGTTTCGAGAACATGTATGGTAAGACCATCCTCATGGAGCTCAAAGCTGCAATTTGAAGCTAAAGCCCCGTCAGCAGCAGTTAGTATATGGTCAAAGAGCATTACCATTGCAAATTGCGTCCATAGTGGCTGTATCATATATCCCAAGACTACAATAACCATTGAAATGAGCGACAAAAGCCCCGCAGCTGTGGTTGCCACCCAAAGTGCTCGCCGATGCCGCGAGATTACGGTTGTTGGGCGACACACAAACATTTTCAGATAGAAAAAATGTCTTTCTAGGGAATGAATTCTTGGGCTGTTCTCTTTCACTGCACAAATTATCCAGAGCCTAAGATACTGTATGAAAAGGAAAATATTCTCGACAGCAGTGAGAGCAACAACCACTGAGTATATAAGATGTCGCGATCCCGGCGAAATGCCATCGCCAAAAAAGCTGGAATCGTCAGTGACTAATTATTATATCCATGAGGAGTATAACCTACGAAAATAGTGCCAAGAGCTTGCAAACAAGGAGTGCAATGGCCATTAAGTAGCTGGGAAAGATGATTTCTGAGAGTGAGATACTAATAAAACAGTTAGCTCACTCAGTATGGTGCTGGGTGAGTGTGCGGACCTCATGTATTGTCGGTAGAACTAGGAGCACCCCGGCTTCGAAAGTGAGAATTGGCCTTGAAGGATCTTCCATAGCAATCAGCATTATCCAGTTGTTAACTAAATATATGCTCTACCTTGTTTCCAGACTGGATAAAAGGCAGCTAGAAAGATAGAAATAATGGTCCCCATAAAGACTATTGCGCCTATTATCGCCTGACATAGAAGGGTTGGATTTTGATGTAACAAGCTGATTTTTGAAAGGTCTCTGTTTGCAATTAAAATCATCCAAAACATGACTCGCACCTGAGAAGACTGACTTGATTGTCGAAGCCGCAAGTTGAAACACAAGTTTTCCATTATGAGTTACATTGAGCTCACGACGAGCAGCACTTTGTTGAGTGAGCTTCTCCATATATATACTTGCTCTTATCCCCATATTAGAAGAAGTATAGCTTCCCTTATGTGGATAAGGAAATACAAGTCTTAGAACTTAGTATTGTTAAACCTAAACATTCCCAGTCAAACAGAGCTTCCTACAACTTGTATAAACATATCTCCCTTTCGGATTTGTACAAGTATAATGTAGCTAGCTTCCTTTTGTTTTAAAATGCTCGAGATTGTATGCAGCGACTGGGATGCTGATCAAATCACAATTCAAAGTCAACATTACACAAACCATGCAGCTCTAGGCAGCACAGGCAATGTGCTGTTCCCTGTTTATGAGAATCCAAAATCAAATCTCTTAGCCTCAGACTACGAATCTATATAAACATGGCAAAGGAATGTCTCAACAACCACAACTCACTCACTCAGTACAAGCCTTATCAGACCTTATAAGCCTCACATAAGATTCTTTCAAACATCCTTCCCTCGGCTTCATCACTTCCATGTAACATTCTGCCTCTAATTATTTTGGATTACTGTTACTTACAATTTTCTCAGCATGTGTACCGTTGATGTTTCCACAAAAATCTATGAATGTGGCGATAGAATCACAGAAGATGTCAAATTTACTCCTTGCCCTGACATTGGCACTCCTTCCTGTCCCGGCCGCAAGGAAAGCACTTTGGGTTTGAATAGAGTGAAAGGAAAATGTGGGAGACACGGTTGCATCAATCCTTAGGTAAGAACTGCCACAGTCTGCATTCAGCTATGTTAGTCAACTAAAGTTATATTTTTGGCAACAAAGGCACGCCTCACAAGTTTTCAGAACTTCGGAAATTATGAATGGATGACAGACGGTTTCATTTTCTGCTATATTATTTCAAATAGATTAGGACTCAACACTCTCATGCCTCTCAGCCTGTAATGAAATTTCTTCGAATATGATGCCCTGATCACGAATAATTGTGTCTACTTCTTCGTACTGTTCCATCCAGCAACCTTGTATAATATCTCCGCCAGTTAGGCTTTCAACTGGGGGAAACATACCCAAGGAGAAGAGTTCATCCACTCTCTCTCCGTAGCTCAATTTCTCCTTCAATGATCCGAACGGCCCTGCACACTTGTATGGCCAGTGACCAGTCATAATCGTGTAAAGCACTGATCCAAGGCTGAATATATCTGTCGCTTTGGTTGACACCCAAGGTTCCCGTGGGTCAAAAAAACCCGAATCTGGGAGATGTCCACCATCTATGACACCGCTAGTTGAGCCTCCAAAATCACTAAGGAAGAGATTGAGAATACCACCGGAATTCCTATGCAGCAAATAGTTTTCGGGGCGTAGATCAGAGTGGATGATGCCTTTCTGGTGAATGTATTGTATAGCTTCTGCAGCTTGGGAGCACCATTGAAGACGCAAGACTGTATCAATCACGCCACTGCGGTGGTCAAGGTATGTTTGCAAATTGTCAGCATTGGCCTCAACAAAGAGTAAGCCTCGGGGGCTTTCAGAGGGGCCAAGGAACCTGAGCATACATTAATGCTGAACAGAAAATAAAATTTTGAGAAGATCCATACTGTATTATTCTAGGGTGGTCCCCTAAGATCCCAAGGATTTGCTCTTCAACATTGAAACTATGCTTGATATGCCTGACCGAATCATGGGATTCTGCGCTGGGGGAATGCTACTACGAATAGCGAGGCGATTTGAGAACAACCCCAGGTTTGATCCGTGTAATGATGGAAGTTGAGCCATGATCCACAACTTCTTTGACAAGAGGGTCATAGGCTACCAGTTCCGAGCTTCCATTCCATGCAACTGCTCTATTTTCTTCAATGTGAGTTTGTGAATCTTTCGGTGGAGTTGACTTGGCGTGCTAGACAATAAAAGTTTAGCGAAAGACACTATAGTTTGGTGTTGTATCTTACTTGCTGTATCTCCTTTTCTATGCTTGTGCACTGCTCAACATCCTCAAATCCTGGCACGGCCAACCAATTGAGCCGAAATTGGAATGGGCGAACGATACTCCTTGAAAACACAGAGATAAAATGCCATAGAGTAGACCATATCGGCCAGCGAAGTGGATGGTTGAAGGCTAGCATGACAACTACCTTACCTAACAAGATGCATCTCAGCCCGTTGATTATCCGCGCGCTAAGAAGTCAACATCACTGACGACAAGACAAGTAAGTACTCCGTAGGCTTGTCGCGATCCTCCCATTATGCTTTGCATAGGTTATTCTATCGTGCAATCACCCTTCCAAGTCACAACCATATAGTTAACTGATCACTAAGGCTGCTAACCATTTCTCCCCTCAGAAATTCTTCCCCTTGAGTAATCATGCGCGCACCCGGCGCCGTTCCACCCCTTTCCGGTGAGTTCTAAACCAAAACTCGACAATGAAACTATTACTGAAAAATATAAGGCCCGGTCAGGATAACTCCTGCTATGCTCCCCAATGAGGCCAACGCGGATTTCAAAGACTCGTCTTTTTTCCGGCGGTTTGATCGTCTCCCGTCACCAGCAGAAGTTCAAGCCCAAGCCCGAGCTCAGCATCTACAAGGAAAATCTGTGGATAAACGAAGAGGGTTTTCAGCAGATCTGGACTTCTACAAACCACTGCCGGCTGTCTTCGAATCTCTCGGACTGTTCGTTAAGTGGGGAGGTGCAGTTAGCATTGCAGAAGGTCAATGCCTTTATGCCATCAATCACTTCTTGAGAGGCTTTGTTCCGGTACCCGAGATTTATGGCTGGAGAACCGAGAAGAGCCATGTATATATCTATATGGAGGCACTTGAAGGCCAAACGCTAGAGAAGATGTGGGATACTATGAATGATAATCAACGCAACGCCATTTGTCAACAGCTTAAGATAAGTTTTGACAATCTTCGTCAGCTTGAGCAATGTCCAAAAGACCGCTTTATTGGTATGCTCTAGCTGATCATTATAGCTGAGAAGTGACTATATCTGACACATCTATTAGGGAACATTAATCAATCGAACTTCTTTGACAGGGCAATAAATGTACAATATCAGGCTGAATCAGGGCCTTTTTCTTCTGTTAAAGAATTTCACGATTGGTTTTCCTTCTTATGCAGACGCCCAATGCCGGATCCCTACTCTGTCAATTTTGACTGGATTCGCGATCAACTACCTGATGATGCTGCTATCAAGTTCACACATGGTGACCTTCATCGAAGCAACATCATTGTGAAGTTGACTCCGCAGCCACATGTTGTTGGCATTATTGATTGGGAGCAGAGTGGCTGGCTTCCCGAGTACTGGGAAGAACGCAAAGCGATCTTTACGACTTTCCAATGGAAGGAATGGGCTTCAACCTATTTACCAAAGATTCTCCAATCATATAAGAACACTGAAGAGGCTTGGGGATTTTTCACAGAGGGTGTTGTCTAGATACTGTGATTGAGCATCCTTGTATATTGCTTTAGCTGCTGGTAATTTAAGGCAATATTCCACACTTTGATTTCTTCCTTTCAGTTTCTCACTACTCACCTATCTTTTATTTGTGTACTCAAGAGGGCTGACCACATACTGCTTATATTCTAGCTCTGAAATTGTCTACATACAAAGCATAATGATATTGCAGCAGCACTCAGCTATGAGATTGTTTGTTCCTAGTCGCCCCATATATGCACATGAAACATAGGGAAATTGACAATGAAACAATGCAATCAGATGGTCTGAAATAGGGTGAGATAAAAGAGAGAAGGCAAGCTGTACTAAGGATTATTCTAAGTGAGAGCAACTAAATAGCGGCTACAAATGTTGGTTCTAAATGAAGGAAGGTGTTAGGAGAACTTAATGTAGATTATGTGAGTTTTCCCAGGATTTGGGGTACAAAAGAGCTAAGTAGGTCTGATGCCTGCAACTGATGAGAAGGAGTCATGCATAGAACATAGAGATCCTCTAACTAGAAGATTGAATGCTGAAATTTTCATAATTCATGCAAATCATGTGATTCTTATACATTCTGAGTTGGGGTTATGTGAGTTCCCCTGAACATCCAATATCATCTAATACTTGATTGATCTAGCTCTATATTCATAATATTATCTTCCCCCCCAGAAATCTCAGACTTCAAGATATAGAATTATTAAAGTGATTCTTTAAATATTATTATTGTAGCTTTTCTGTCATTAGCAGAGTATTATAGATTCTTGAATATGCAAGATTCTGCATTTCTACTACTTGTTTATATAGATATTCTGTATATGTATTACTATTAGCTACAGTAAACATTCTTTATTGTAGATCAGTCATTATTTTATTACAAAAGTTTAGTATTTTATCACATATAGAGTGGTATCCAGTTTCAGGATTTCCTGTCCCAGTCCCAGATTCCTGTCCCAATTCCCATCCCAAGAACAGAATCAGGTTGAAGCTTAGCTTAATGGAATGGGACCAGGTTGTTTAATAGCATATTGCATCAGCAAATCCCCATCAGGCCCGCCATGCCCCACAAATTTTAGTATAATTTTTCACACCATAGACAGTCTTAGCACTCTTGGCACTACATAATTGCCCTGGTTTTACTCCAGGCCATATTTTTGATTTTCTTGTTGCTCTGAATTAGCTCTGATTAAGTTCTTCTATCTGTAATGGCTCTGGGCCTGCTGGGCTTCACCAAATCATTCTTTAGTTGCCTCTTTTACTCATCAAGTCAAGATGCCACTCTCATCAGTACTTTGTACTCTTAGCTATCTGGAAGTTCTAACTCTACACATTAAAATAAATAATTTCAAGACTAGTAATATTCTTATTTTTTGTAAAAACTCATAAAGCTATATTTAGATATAAGTAAAAAAATAAAGTATATCATAAATTCTCAGAAATCCTCAATCTCTTGATGTTACACAGAAACTGTATGCAAAGTAAAGTTTTACACATTTAACTATTAGTATCTGATTTCTTAATTTTCTTGTCACTATTTTCTGTTTCATCTTCTAATATCTCATTTTTCTTGTTGTTGTTGTCTGTTTTATCTGAAGATGGCAAGCTGTCAAGATCTGTCAAGAGTAAATCATCAAGATTTATATATTCAAGCTCAATAGCAGATAATGTATCAGATATTAGAACTCTGACAAAGAGAGTGAAGTCTTGTAAAGATTTATATAGATTATTTAATATTTTTAGATCATCTTCTGTAATTTCTGTAAGAGTTTTATTTTCTGGTGAGTTTGTATATTATAGAGACTGCTCTGGATCTGGCTTGGCAGATATCTTATTACTAAATTTTACTGATAATTGTATTACAAGAAAAGTCTTGCTAGTTATGACCAGCTTCTTTAATAAAACTAACTCAAGTATTCACCAGATCTTTTTTATAATGTCATCATCTAATTCTAAGTCTGTTATATCTTCATATTTTAAACACAAATAAGTCTGTCCAAATATTTTACAGTAGAAGATATCCACTTATTCACACATAATATTCTTAGTCTTATTTAGTAAGTTTGCTATAGTATTATTCTGTCTCTTATTATCTTTCTGAGTCTTAATATCTTCTGGAGATTTATTTAGCTATATAGCTAGTTTGTCTTCAAGATTGTCAAACATGTTCTGTGCCATACTAAAAATTTAAGGGATTATCTTGTTCACTTGATTAAATTCAACAAAATAATCAAATATATTCACACTATAAAGAATTCAGATTCATTACTTTTCTGTTTGATCAAGACAGTGAACTCTTTCTATAATCTGTAAAGTAATATTCACATTAATCACTAGTTCAAGCATGGTAATATCCAAGCAGCTGTGATGAATATTAATATTAAGAAAGCAAGTACTGTAAGTGGTAATCAAAACTTCAATATTGCTGTCAGAATTATTAAAGACATCTTATATTTTTTACTATTTCTGAAACAACTGGCCTGCTTGCAGTGAAAGAATATTGTACTCAAGAAATTTCAAGAAGATTTTAATATAAAACTCAACAGTCAGATAAGTAATAAAGACTAAAAGACAATATCTCTCAGCATCTACAACTTTTTGAAGAATCTTGAGAAACATCAGATATTTTAGTATTATTAAGCATAAGAATTCTACAATCCATACACAGTTAGCTAGAATACAGAAAATATTAACATCAGTAATTATTTTGCTTATAAGTTACACAATTTTCTGAAATGAGTGGCACATTCAGTTAATGTCTTGAGAAAGATTACTTTCATACTTCACAACAGTTGAAGTAAAAAGATTTTTTAAAGCAAATAAAAATAATACATGTCTGAGTTAGCAATAAACAGCCATGTCAAAACTGCCACCAACATTATTTTTATTCTCAGAAGATTCTTGAGTATCACTAACAGTCTCTTTCTTCAGCATTAAAACAAGATATGAGTGAACACTGTAATACTGTGCCAGCTGTTATATCTGCATTATTTTATACTCAATCATTCTTACACTATAGCTTGAAATATTTCTGTCAATAGTGACAACTCTATACATATCATCAAGATTCATTTGGTGACCATATGTCCAATAAAGCTGAATGCAGTTGAGAATTCAAGACAAAGCAATCATTGCAGAGTATAACAATATTGAATTATATTAAAAAAGCTGATTGTAGAGCAATAAGTGCAGAATATGCAAGCAATTCATACCAGATATAGATACTTTCTCATAAACTTTGAGTGGGTTGTCAATTGCTCAAAAATTAAAATTCATATATAAAGATTTCTTATTGATAAGCTGCATAAAACCAGACAAATCAGAGACTCTCTTTATTATAGAGATTGCTGACACAATTCAGATATAGTCTCTTGAAATCAAGACAACAGTCTTGTAGACAGAAATTCTTGAATTCTTAACTTTATGTTCTTTATTAAGTATCACACATTCAAAAAAGTTTTTGGTCAGCTAATCAAGTTTCCTATGAAGCTGCTGAAGCATGTCCTCAAATACATCAGAGAGTCCATCTAGCTATACAGCAGTATCTGAAGTCTCATATCATACAGCTAGATTATCAGAGCTCAAATACATGTGCTGTCACCATGTCAAATATGATATAATAATAACTGTTGTTGTGATCTTTAGGTCATTTTTGTCAAGCTTTTTGAATTCAGATTTCAATGTGGTTTTATCAATAATAAACTTCTTGAGAGTGTCATCAGTGATCTCTTTGCTGCCAAGAATATCATAAAAAAGAATCAGTCAAATGCTATCAGAGAAGAACTGAACAATCTGATTAACTCAATTAGTGACCACTCTATTTGAACAGATAATCAGAGTAGAATAATATAATTCAGTTAACTTTTGTTCTTTCACTTTAAGAATTAAAGTGCAGTATTGTGCAGTCTTTCTCAGTCCTACTTCATCAGCAAGAATTCCATCTTCTACTGATGACAGCTCTTGTGTTAATTTCCAAGCAACCCTAGTGACTTGTCAAGGTTTCAGTGTAAGATTTGCAACTATCAGATTATCAGAGTCCATATTCAAGTCAGAACAAATAGTAAGATAATCTGAAGCTTCTGCTCCAGTTATATTAAGCATGTGAGTCTTGCTAATATTCTCAACAGAATCTTCATTATCATCATTATCATCACTTATTTCAAGGTATTTCAGATGTTTGATGTCAGTTATTAGTCTATTATCAGATTTACACTTTTCCACAAACAGCATTTTAATATCAACAGCATTTTTGGTAAACTCTTCAAGTAAGGCTTTTCTCATGTTTTTATCTATAGAAGGCAAAGGAATATTGAAGCTAATTCTATAAATAATCTTGTTTACAGTTTCAACAGTATTATTGATGTTCTTCTCAAAATCAGTATCAACATCTTTATCAGTAGAACCAATTTCAACATCATCTTGAAACTCTTTGTTAATGACTGCAGTAATAGTAGTCTTGGCTCCTGTCTTTGCAGCAGGGTCATCTCACATATTCAGATCTACATACTTTGAGATAATCACTTCATTATCTTACTTACAGTCTTTTTCTTGTTTAAGCTGCCAACCAGCAGATCTCATTCATACCATGTATTTTAATAGAAGAAGAAGTTTTTGTATGTTCTCAGAGTTATCATTTTTGAATCTTCCCTCAGATTTTGCAATTAATTGCCAAACAGCTCATAACAACACCACAGTAGAAATATTATCAGTAGGCTCAAGATTCTTAAGATTATCATCAAGTAAAGAAATTTCTGCCTGTATTGTTGGAAGCTTTATTTTCTTTATTGCATTAATACAGATTGAGATATTAGATCTGTATGCAGAGCCAGTTCTATTAAAAAAATTGCTGTATTTCTTGTGGAATATAATTAAAATATAATTAATTTCATCTGTTTACATTCATTCTTATAACATGTCTGTTGTTGGGAAGTCTAAATATTCTGCAAGCTTTGCTTAATTTTTATAGATTCAGCTACTATCAAGTACATGAACTCTGAAGATTGTACTTGAGTGAAGATCTTCAGTCTTGACTATCTTGCAGGCCTTTGGTGTGCTTATTTTCTTTAATGAAGTTGGAGGATTCATTTCTCAAGCTAGGCTAAACTCTATATTAGAATGATAACCAGTCACTTAATATAGTAGATATTGGGGTATACTAGCCATACAACAAGAATTTCAAGTCAGAAGATGTATTGATCTAGATATACAACACACAATATTACAAAAGAAGTCTTCAAATGGTGTCTAAGTTCAATATCAGCTTGTTACTTATAAGAAAGAAAGTACTTATAGAGCTTGTTTTGCAAAGAAAATCTCACAGAGAAGTCTGTATATTGCTAATTTCTAGTTAGCAAGCTTATAAGCTCTTTCAAGATTGAAATTCATGACTGTAGAGAGCTTGTCTTTACTGATTTGGAGAGCTGGCAAGCTTGTAGCATAGCTGGTGAGACTGTGTAGATTAGTAGTTAGAGAGAGAGTTGGAAGAGAGATTATAGCAACAAAAATAAAGTATAAGCTCTTGGCCTAATTAAAAAATCCAAAACAATACATCTCTGTATCATACAGCTAGAAAAGTAGCATGAGATCTAATATTCTCACATTTGAAGTAGAAGCTGTGAACCTTCAGCAGCATTCCTAAAATACATGCTATATCTTACAGCTAGATAACAGCTCAGTAAATTAAGTAGGCAAGCATGGCAACAAGAAAATAATATAGAATCTCTATATTATATTACAACATCTCAATGCTACATGTGTATTTCAGAATGACAAGTATAAGAAACTTTATAGCAACTAACTTCAATTCAAAGTCATGCACAATCATGATGACATTAAGCTTGTTCAGGGTATAGAAAATGTTAAAATCAGTAATAAGACTGGCATCCTTGGTAGCTTGACACTGGGAATTGTTGAAGTAGGCTGGCATGGTCCTGCCACCAAGATGAGATTCAGCCATCTCCCCTATCTTGGTCAAGACCATGGAGGAGATCTCCCCCAGTGGAAACTGCTTTGTTATTGAAGTAGACTGGCATGGTCATACCAGTATTGTTAACAGTGCCATCAAGATAAGAGTCAGCTGTCTCTCCTATCTTGATCAAGGCATGAAGAAGATCTCCTCCAGCAGAAACTGCTTTATTATTAAAGTAGACTGGCACAGTCACATCAGCATTATTAACAGTGCCATCAAGATAAGAGTCAGCTGTCTCTCTCATCTTGATCAAAACATGAAGAAGATCTTCTCCAGTGGAAACTGCTTTATTATTGAAGTAGGCTGGCATGGTCATACCAGCATTATTGATAGTGAAGATAATCTTCTCTGGTGTAAATTTTTTGGTCTCATCTTTAAATTCAAGATAATGGACTTGCCACTCTTATCAATAATCTTGAAGAGAAAGTGTTTCATGTCAGCTTGAATCTTAGTATTGTTAAATTTATAACTAATAAGATGCTTGATATTAAAGTCTGTATTTACAAAGTTTATAATAACTTAATTTTTTGCAGTATTATTAATCAAATACTCAGTGTCTGTAAAGACACCAAATAATAAGATAGTGTGATTTTTCTAATCATTTGCAATGATTCTGATATAGCAGAATCTCTATAAATATTAGCTAGATTTTTATAGAAGACATAATATTGATAGAACTTATTAAATACTGCTGTTAAGTAATTAAGCTAGCAATGCTGTTTTTTCTGCAGCAGAAGCAGCAGCTGCAGCTGCAGATTATAACTGCAGCAGCAGTACAGCTAGATATAATATTGAGAGTTGTGGAAGACAGAAGAGAAAAGATATTTATATCTTGTATAATACTGTCAAGCTAAGCCTAAAATAAACTAGCTTGTAAATATTATTGTAATATTATAATAAAAATACACTACTCTGTAAGTGAGGCTAAAGTAAGTATAAAGTAAAGCCAGAGTAAGTATAAAGTGAAGTTTTTATTATTATATAACAATTTACTAGTAATCAAATTTTTAAATAATATTTTTCTATTATTATTGTGCTGCTTGTAGCAAGCAAATCTTCATATTAAGTAAATTAGAGAGGCATCACACAAAATGTTAAGTATTGCTTGACTATCTTCAAGAATCTTAGTCTTCTCAGACTGAATCAGCTACCCCAACAGACTTAGAGATTCAAGAACATGCTAACAACCTCAACACTACTGGAATCTCTACTGGTGAATGGGATTTTGTCCATGATAACTATAGTAACTAATTGACCAACATGGGGAAAGAGGACATTAAGATGAATAAGCCAGAAATCTTGTCACTTGAAAGTACAGTAGCTAGCAATCTTCCATTACAAGAAGATTTGACTAAAGTAATATTAACACTGGTGGTAAAAAAAAATATACAGAACTTACTGTTAAAAGAAGCTCAAACTTCTACATTCTGATTTTATCAGTCAAGCTTTTTATCATGTTCACAACTCACACTATCACATACAAGATAACAGATCAAAAAGCAGATATACTTGTTGATGTTCAAATTAAATCTGATTCTGAATATCCAGAAAAACACAATCTATTTTATTTATTTTGTAGTAAGATTAATTATAGAATAGTAAGTTTCTTTTTCAGAGTAAAACTCAGCAAGAGAAATATTAATAACTTCTTGAAAAGCTCTTTTCTATACAGCATCACTATATAACTGAGTTTTCATAATAGAGACAAGCTTTTCTCAAAAGTTGTCAAGATCTTATATAGTCATACTGCAAGAAATTAAGTTCAGATAAATATAATAGTTCTCTTGCCAGAATCAGATTTATACTTTAAGACACACAAGCTTCAGTATCAGAAAGTTGAATATATTATTCAACATCTTCTTGATCATAAATTATTTCAGAAATATCTGGTATATGAACCAGTGCAGTACTTTAATCAGAGCAATAACTAAGTATATACAGAAATGCATACTGGAAATTGATGATGAAATATACAGAAGAACTTTCCTGATAGTGCAACTGTAGTACCAGTATTGATTGCAACAGATAAAATACAGCTTACCAATCAACATAAAGACTTAAACTTATAGTTTGTATATCTTTTAATTAGAAATTTAAGCAACATGGAAAGGCAGTCTTATAACATAAATGGTACAATACTTGTTGAATTTCTCCCATTACTAAAGAATACATCACAGAAACTCAAATCCCAAGTGCATTATAAATTTATAAGAATTATACTGAAGTGTAAGTCTTACTTTAAAGTACTACAGGTCTCTGTCATTGCAATATATAATCTAGCTATACAGCTAGATATATGCTGAATCTGATGGCAAAATTGACTGACAGTTAATTAAGTTAATTAGCACTTGAACACTTGTATAAAACAGGCTTTATAGTTAAATATGCTGATGGACAAGTTTGAAACTGTTTTCCTATTCTTGCCAGAATAATAGCTAACTATAAAGAACAAGTGTTGATAACTGGAGTCAAAAGTAATAGACACTGCATCATTTGTACTGTTCTACCTAATGCACATATTAGGAGGACCAGTTGTAGATCACATAGGTTTTCCCAGAATTAGGGGTACAAAAGAGCTAAGTAGGTACAATGCCTGCAACTGATGGAAGGGAGTTGTGTGTAGAATATAGAGGTTCTCTAACTAGAAGACTGAACACTAGGGTTCCCATGATCTATGTAAATTGTGTGATTCTTATATGTTCAGAGTTGGAGTCATATGAATACCCCTGAACATCTGATGTTATCTGATGCTTGATTGGTCTAGGTCTACATTCATAACACTATCCCCTCTCCAGAGGCCTTAGACTTCAAGACATAGAGCTACCAAAGTGGTTTTTTGTATGTTGTTGTAGCTCCTCTATCATTGGTGGAGCATTATAGATTCTTAAATGTGCAAGCTTCTGCATTATTACTGCTTGTCTATATAGACATCCTGCATGCATATTGCTGCTGGTTGCAGTAGACATTCTTTATTATAGAATAGTAATCATTTTATTATAAACATCTAGTGTTTTATCACATACTTATTTCTTTATTTGTTTGCTTGTCTGATTACTATATTATCTGTTGTTTATTGTTACATTGTTTATCAACAAGTCATGAAACTAGCAACTTTAGTGCATTGCAGTATAAGTATAAATAGAGAGTTTCTGACCCTCTTTTTTCTTTTTTTTCTTCTGCTTTGTTTGAGCTTAGGCATCATTTCTTATTTATTTTATAACTTATCATAATGTTATTATTAAAAGACTCTGTTGCACATAACAAAGAAGACACTCTTTCATACTTTATCTGTATTTGCTTAATATTTATAGACCATCTGAATGAAAGCAAGCCTTGTCTATAAAATATCAAAAAGAAATCTTGTTCTTATTATTTAGAATATCAAACTCATATCTGTTATAATAGAAGTGCATCTTCATTCATTCTTCTTGTTGTTCTGACATGACTGTAGGTTTCAGAATCCACCATCAAACTAGTTTATTAGCTCTTGTAACTTCAAGAAGAGTACCATAGTATTGATATAGCTGATCCACATTGCCTGTACAATATAAAGTACATGAGTGTACTTATGCAAGAGTTTTGTGGACTTAACTCTGAAGCTGTCAAGCACCATCACCATCAGACTACTTCTTGTCTTGAAGAATCTTCTACAAAACATGATCATCCTGCATCATGTCATGAAACCAAAAACATGAACCTTATGTTCAAAACAGAATCTATTAAAGACAGTCTGTCTGAGCTTCTTTATTCAACAACCCCAGTTTGTACCATCCTGTCTCAGATAGAAAATAAAATCAGAAATATTCAAGTTTCACTTGATTATTTTACTACTTGTTTAACAGATGAAGTCAAAGCTCTTCAGAATGTTATAAAAAGCAGTCTTGTAGATTTTCTTCACTATTTTTTCCTGTTGTCAGACTAATCTCTGTCTAGACCAATCTTATGTCTTCCATTAACTATCTGGCTGATGTTATCTTCTCTGATTTCCAGAGCATTATAGATATAATTTGTTCTTCTTGTGGTTCTTTGTCTGTTAAGTCTACTTCTGTTGCAGTACTATCTGTTGTTGTACCACTAGTTTCAGTAACTCCAGAATCACATCTGTCTTTAACTGGTTCATCTCCATCACAGCCACATTTCAGGTGCTCTCATGGTACCTCTTCTTGTTGCTAGTTGTTTGATTTCATTACATGTGGTGATCTTTAGTATGTCTAGTCTTCTTTTTGTATGTAGATTTGTTTATCTTAGAATGACTTTGCTTTTTTTGTAGATAATTCTTAAGAACTTCTTGTGCATTTTCAAGGTTTTTCTCAGATTCCCATGTTGATTCCTCAATAGAGAATCTCTTCCATTTCACTAGGTAATGTTTCTTATAATAGCACACTTTGTTATTCAAGATTTCATCTACTTCCCACTTATAATGGTCATCTACTAGTACCACAGAAGGACACATTAGTGCCTCACCTGTTCTTGTGTGGTATGATTCCAGCAATGAGACATGGAAAATGTTATAAATCTGATAGCTCAGAGAGAGCTTCAGTTGATATGTGTTATTTTCTATAATCTCTATCACTGAGAAAGATCCATAGTACTTGTCATCTAACTTCTTGCAAGGATGTATTATTTGTAGATTTCTTGATGACAACATTACTTCATCACCAGATGCATACACTTTATCTTGATGTCTTTGGTTATAGAATCATGCTTGATTCTCTTTTGCTTTTGTCAAATGTTCTACCAGACTATTTCTTAATGTGGAGATCATTCTCAATCTTCTGGCAGATATCATCTGTGCATTATCATCATCATCAATCAACTTCTGGATCTCATCTAGTCCCCTAGATTCAAAGCTGTACATTGCTTTGAACAGAAACATGTGTATCATAAAGTGTTCTGATCTGTTGTATGCAAATTCTGCATACACAAGCCACTCCTCTCAATTGTCTTGTCTATAACTACAATAAACATGAAGATATTCCTCCAAAATCTTGTTCAGTATCTCTGTTTGACTGTCTGTTTGTGGGTGGAATGCCATGCTAAGTTTTTGTCTAACTTTCATGTGAAAACATAGCTCTGACTAGTATTCACTTATAAAAACAGATTCCTGATCTGAAACAATATTGTTTAGAAATTCAAAGTCTTTAAACACTTTTCTGAACAGAAGATTTGCTATCTCTGATGTATTAATCTTCTTTCTACATGCAAGAAAATATGCAAGCTTTATAAATCAATCTACAACAACCAGAACTGTGTTGTATGAATTTCTTTTCTCTTCACTCAGAGAGAGATTCATTATATAGTTTATAGATATTGAATATCAGAAACCACTGAATGTTGACAATGATATGAGCAATCTATATAATTTGTGCATTGGAGTCTTCTCTTGTTAGCAGGTTTGGCATTCACATATGTATGTCTGAACATCTTGTCTCATTAATTACTAATTGTATTTTCACTGGAGCAAGACAAATATCTTTGCTATGCTAAAGTGACCTGCAAATGAGTTATCATGGTGAACTTATAGTAGTTTCTGCCTTAGAGCTAGATTGTTAGAAATATAGATCTTGCCACTCTTTGTTAAAAGATCTTATTCATTTATTTT